CCCTATTACATTCTGTCTTATGTGGGGCCCACGTGTGAACTGAAGGGGAGAATGGAGTGTGTATCAAGGATTTGAAAAGAAAATCATCATGCAAAGTGAATACTTGACATTCTACATAATCGATGCTGTTGATTTGAATAATGCAAGCATGGCATAGTGTAGTAGAAAGGTCGCTGGGCTCAGAAGCCAGTTACCTGGGTGTGAGTCCTGGTTTTGCTGTTTACAGGCTGAGCATACTTATGTAAAACAGTTGGCTTCTCTGAGGGTCTTTAAATGGGGGCGGGGACGATGGCTTAGTTCATGAGGTGACGACCAAATGAGTTAGAAGAAGGTGTGTTGTAAACCCTGAAATGCTTCTAAAATAGAATGTGGTGGTGGTATTTAAAGTTATTTTTTAGTATTACATTTTATTTACCTTTCAAAAATCATAAGTTACTCATGAAAAAAGTGAAACACTGGTTTTGGGTGGGCTTGATTGTTCAAAAGATGTTGTCCAGCTGTTCTTAAACTTAAGAGAAAAGACTAGATAAGACTAAGGCTTACAGTAGAGCAAAAAGGGTTTAGATTAGGTATAAATAGGATCTAATAGCAGTTTGATTTGTTTAATATAGTAGTGTTTTTCTCAGGCATATTATACAACTTTCTTTAGATGCCTTCAAAAATTAAAAATAGGTTTACATCAGTGTTGGCTTAGGTAGTGTCCTGCTGCAGATGTAAGGATGATTAATTTAATGTTACCTCTAATGTTCATGTCTACCGCAAAAGTTTTACATCACTTTTTAAGTGGGCCTGGAAATATTTATGGAATCAGAACTTCTCATAAAAGTAACAATTCCAGTTTTAAAATGTCCTGTTGGGTCCAGTCTACAGAATTTCAATGGATTTAAATTAATGGGGTAGGAAGCTGGCCCAGAAGTCATTGCTTAAAAATCTTTATTAAATTAACTTACTATATAGTTCTAAGTCTCTAAGTAATCTATATCAAAATTCTTTACATCAGCATGTCATTATAAGGGGATTGCTATAAGTTCAAGTTTTCAGTGTTTCAATGGGTATCATTATGAATTCTGCATTATGAAAATGAAGCTACTGGCAGTGATTATCCAACTTGTGTATGCAAGCTGATTGAAAAGACTAAGGTGCTTCTCAGGCAGGCTTCTTCCTGAGAAAATCCTGATCTTTGATACTTTTTATTATTACTACTACTGCTGCTGCTGCTAAGTTTATTGAGCACATAATATGTGCCAGGCATTGTTCTGGGTGCTTTAGATATATTAGCACATTCAATTCTCAACAACCCACTGAAGAATGTACTATTACCATCCCAGTTAACAGGGGAGGAAATATGTACAAAGAGGTTAAGTTACTGTCTTAGGGACATGGAGCTAGCAAGTGGCAGAATCAGAAGAACCCTTTGTTGTTTGGTTCCAGAACCCATGCTGCTACCAGACTGACAGTACTGACTACCACTAGTCGACTACACTGGCCCTATTGTGATAACCTCTGGGTAGTGCTTATTTCCTCATCAGGAAAAGAGAGAGTTTGTGGGGTTGGAGAGGATGAGGAATTATATAAAATACACTATCGTGATATAGTATGGATTTCAGTGACCTTTTCTTAATTTACAAAATTCAACATCAGGAATTGATTTCATGTGAAACTTCAATAGTGTGAAATGGCTATTAGATTAACTTTTCTGAGCATATTAGAGAAAGGCAGAGATTAACTCCTACACTTAACTCAGATGCCGATGTAGGTGTGTGTGTAAAATACCAAGTAGCAGCAACAGAGTGACTTGGTGAAGACATGGGTGCAGGACACAGCAGAGCCGACAGTAAGTATGACTTCTTCAGTGCTGATTATTCAAAAACCAGAATTAGTTCATGAATGTTAACTGGGTAACCATGTGTGATGTTGGGATTAATATGGTGTTTTGGACAGGAAGTAGATATTAGAAACTGTCACACATATATATAGACAACCAGAACTGTTTATATTAAAAAAACAATTTTCAAGGAAACATGACTTGGCTCCAGTATTAGAGATCATGGAAACTATGTATTTCTTCTAAAATGTTTTACTGGAAAAGAGCCAGAGAGTACAAGCCCCAAGCAACTTAAGTATGTGTGAACAAATCAGTGTTGTATAAAAAATATTCGGTATAATTGAATTCATCTAATATATTACAAACCCTTGAACATATTGAATTATAAACAGTATCATTCATAGCAATAGTAATAGTAGTAACAACCACATAACTACTTGTATATATTGTGAATCAGGAAAGTGCTTTATGTACATTATCTTATTTAACACAACCTGTGAGGTGGTCACTATTATTACCTCCATCTCACAAATGAAAAGACAGCGGAAAAGAAAGGATCAGTTGTGTGCACAAGGTTACATAACTGGCAAGCATCATTCATTCATTCAGTATTTATTGAGTGTACCTCCCACAAGCCCGGTACTGTTCTAAGTAGTGGGCAATGAGCAGTGAGTAAAACAAAGTCCTGTTTTCATAGAAGGGCCTTACCTTCTACGAGGGAGATAGACAACAAACAGATAAACATGGAAACATAGGTGCTGGGATGGGCTGTTACCACTCTTTTATACAGGCCAGTAAGAAGGAACTCAGTTAAGGTGACATTTCAGTAGACACCTGAGGAGTAAGGGATATTTGTAGGAAGAGCATTACTAGAAAAGGAGGGAAAGAGATTCCTGTGCTTGGAGTGCCTCAGGAAGACCGCAGAGGCCATGTAGCTACCATGGGTGAAGAGTGGATGGTCAGAGTCTGAATGTAGATTTATCTGACCCCAGGGCCCGCATTTCAACCACCACACTAATCTGATGGGGCAACCGCAGCATTACCTAATCTACTAAGATCTTGGAGACACTATTATACTTGTGGAAAAGGGGAGGGCAGTAAATTTCTACTCGAGAAGTTCTGCATGTAGAGTCGAGAGTATGTGAGAAATCCCTGTGTTTTGGGGAGAATGGTTTTGGAGAATAAAAGTAGGGGAAGATTGTGTACTATAAATTGGAGAAACTGGGACTCTAAATCCCCTGCCCAGAATTTTCTAGAGGTTTTCCATTGCCTTCGTTGCTTTGGAGAAGTTAAGTAACTTTCCCAAGACCCCATAGGAAATAGGCCTAGTTTTGAATGATGATAAAGACTGTTCACAACTGCTAAGCTATGCTACCCTTCTCAGAATGTGAAATCAAGCACGTGCTCACTGACAACCTGTCACCTACAGACTGAAGTTGACAAGCCTTGGAAAGGAATGCAGGGCCCTTGGAGAGTAGCTCCCAGCTTCTCTTTTGCCTTTTCTTCTACTGCCCCTCCCCTGGCACCTTAGCATGAAACAATAGTACCTGCTAGTGTCATGCACCTAGGACTGTGCACATTCTGAAACATCCTTCTTCCTCTTGTTTTGTGATGGAGATTCTGTATCTTCTTGAGGACTTTCTTTACCATTCTCCTTCCCAGATTGAGTTACAGCTTCCTCCCTTTGCTATTTTTGAAATTTACGTATCTGTACTTGCTCACATTTTCAGTAGAACTCATTCTCTGAGCCTCTGCCCTCCCAGCCAGGATTAGAGCCCCTCCTCTGTTCTACCAGATAAATCAATGTAAGCATTGATCATGCCTCTTATCACATTTCTTTCGGGGGTAATTTCGTTGCTTTTATCTCTGCCTCTTCTTCCTATAAGTCATTGAAAGCTTATGCTGTGTGTTTATCTGTATCCCAACCACTGAGAATAGGGCTTGGCATGTAGTTTACCTGCTTATTTAAATTAAACATAGAATATCAGATGCAGAGGTATAATGACAGTTTTGATTAGATTAAAACAAGTGGGATATGTTGAACAGTGATGTTAGTTCACTCAGAAAAAAATAGATGGTAATAAAACAACTACTCTTTTGTGAAAGGTTAGTGTGTGCCAGACAGTGAACCCAGTGCTGAAGCACCCATTCCATTATTCCCAATCAAATTTGAACGTGAAAGGCACACTTTATTAGGTATAACTTTAAAGCTAAATTAATACCTTATTAGATATAACTTTTAAAACTGAACTTTCAAAATGCCTTCATTTTTACACTATTAGCTGACTGGATAGTAAGAGATGTTAATGGATCCTTAAGTGGAGGAAATAATCCTTGGAAAGGGACAGAAGTCATCTTTGTTTCTTTATATTCAGTTTTTAAAATGTTACTACAAATGTGTCTACTTGGCTACATGTAGAGGTCTTCCGGAAAGAACACTGTGCTCGTTTATAATTTAAGCACGGCATGTTGGGTGAGACAGAGGGCTTTTGGACAAGTGAGTCCAGTTGAGACTCTGCATAATGCAGTGCTTCGTTCTGTTATCAATAGTTAATTGTGAAGGCTTCAGTAAGTGCCATCCTTCCAACCTAAGGCCCAAAGTGGGATACTTAGGCCTTGGTTACTTAGCCTGATTCTTGATTTTTGTTCAATAGAAAGCCTACTCATTAGGAATTCTACTGAGTGATTTTTGAACAAGAATTCTCATTGCTAATTGTTTTGTGTTTTCCAGACAAGTATGTTATCTCAAATTGATATGCTTTATAATCACTGATAAATCATTCTTTGATATGTATGAATTTTGGCTTATATAACATATGTTATTGTGGCAATGTTGAACTGTACTCTGAAATACTTTTTTTTTTAAATGTAAAATCAAAAAAAGAAGTATCATATAGTTTTCCCTCACTTCTCAAAGAACAATATAGCTTTTCTTTTTTCTTCTTTTTTTGGTGTGGGGGGAGGGGCTTGATTTTATTGTCTCCTTAATTTCTCAATATTTTGTGCCAATTAAAATGAATTAGATACTCTTTAGTTAATCCTAATGCTTAGAGTCTATCAGTAGGAAAGACTACATTAGTGCTCAGAAAAAGATATTTAAGAAATTAATTTGCTTTCAACCCTTTTCATGATCTGATAGAAATTTATTCTAAAGCTCTTTGTGGTTTCTTTGCAGTGACCCTGCAGCCAAAGCTCTGTGGGAAGCCTTACTGAACACCAAGCACAAAGAGGCAGTGATGGAAGTCCGGAGACATCTAGTGGAAGCAGCAAGCAGAGAAAACCTGCCAATCAAGATGAGTATGGGTAAGCGTATCCACTTCATCTAGGACAGACAGTGACTGCAGGCTCTGAGGGAGTTCTTTTAAGCCAGCTCTAAACGGGGAGCCAGTTTAGCCAGCATGGCATGTAGATAAAAGCACTGACGTATTTGCAGACTGTTGGAAAAATAGGAAGGGACCATGGATACACTGCTCCTGGGGCTCAACAACGACCTCTTTTCTTAGGCTCAAATTTGGGATCCCTAGGAGAGCCCTTGCATAAAAAGTAATTCTTTTAGCTTCTTTAGTTGCTCTAGAATTATCAAAATTGGTCTGGACCACCCTCCCTTCATTCTGTTTCACCCTTACTCCCCCCTCCCTTTGTAAAAAATTCTTCCCTCCCTACTTAATGTGGATGAAAACACTTTTACTGGTTTTGAATTAATGAATGAACTACTGTGCTGACAAAACAATTGAGCGATAGACATGCTTGGGCCTGGCCACTCACTTTTAGAGTGATCTGCTAATTTCCAGTCATGTAAATGTTATCCCTTCTTCACAAGGATATTACATACCCATTTCTCATTTTCCCCCTACATTCAGCTTTGTCTTTGTCTTCAGTCTTAGGAGAATCTGGTTGAAATGGAATTTAAATTTTAAATAGCTTTTTTTTTTAATTAAAAATATGAGAACTAATGTATTTAAAAAAAATATATA